TGTGTATGTATATGCAATAAAGTTTGTTGGATAAAGTTTAATTATAATAATTATTATTGTTATTTATGAAAAAAAAGTAAAAAAGTAGTAGTCTAGTTGATTAAATTAGAAAAGTTTAACCTTTAGTCTAAATAAAACAAACTAGCTATATAGTAAGGCTATAAAGCATAGTGTGATATTATTATTAATATTAATAATAATAATAACATGAAAAAATAATAATATAAAATATAAATAGTAAATTTTGTCCACAAAAAAACATTTATTTATTACTTTTGACGGATGACACTTACCGGACGTTTTTGAAAGCTATTAAAATTATCTGCTGCAGAAGAACTATTATTATTATTATTATTATTATTATTATTTGAAATCAAGAACGTTTCAGCAACGGCAGCTAATATATTCATAATTATAATTATATTTATTTATTTATTAAAAAAAACAAGGAGTTTGTTAAAGCTGCAAGGGAAAATTTTAATTAATTAAAAAAAATAGTTTTACTTTAAAGGAATGTGTGTTGATAGAGAAATGTGAAATATCGAAAAAAATTTTTACGATAAATTTTATTTGGAGAAAGATAAATATAATGAATGAATGATAATTATAATATTTTATTTATTTATATACGTTTTTTATATAAACACACAATATTTGTAAAATATTATTGTTATTTTAATTGTGATTTGATGATTTGTTACTATTTAAAAATTCTTGTTTTACCAACAAGTAATAATTAGCAAGTAATATATTAAATTAGAGAGAAAAATAATTGTTTAAAGATGATGGTTTTAACATTTTTAATTCATGATGATGTATAGTTGGTATCAGAAGATGAATTATATTATTTATTATGACTTTAGTATAACGTAAACAACAATAAATAAAAATAATTGCAATAGGAGTTATTTGTTAATAGTGATTGAAAATAGTGAATTGTAGTAGACAATGTACAATATACGCCAAATACAAATAGAATTTTCTCGAACAATTATTTTAAGTCGCCATTGGTTGAATGCATACAATGTCAGATTTTCTAACGTTTCCCAGGATCACAATTAAAAGTGTCTTTTTTCTATGGTTATTATCATTATTAATTATAAAAAAAAATTAGAACAATGTACGGTGATGGATGATCAGTGAATCCATTTATATTAATATTGATTTGCAAAATTTGGCTTCAATATAAATTTTCTTGTTCGTTTCGAGTTCTTCTTTCTAATGCTAACACCGGCAATTTTCTGGAAGGTGATGCAATGATATCATCATCAACATTAGAGTTGCGACTTATTTTCCCCTTCATTTCCTTGATTTATATGTTCATCGTAGGAGCTGTTTTTTTACTCTCTGCAGATCCCATCCATGTTATTATTTATTCATTTCATTTATGTAATGCTTAAAGAATTAATTTAATAAAGATAATTCTGGCTAATTTATTTTTCTTTCAGTTGCAACAAGTGATGATTCATGCTTCCAAATTCGTGAATCTGTCTTGCATGGCTCTTTGGATATTTGTTAATTATATATTTAAAAACAAAAATAGTAGTTTTTACTGGTTGTTTTATATATTTTTTGTATTAGACATCTATCATACATATATACATAGTATTTAAAAATTCACAATTGCACGAAAATTAGTGAGAGGTTGTAAAATAATTTAATCTTTCATATGGGTATCGCTTTGTGTGAGGTTGTATTGTTGAAGTTTAGGGAAAATGGCAAAAGACCTGAAAGAAACATAATAAATGCATAAAATTGCAGGAGATCATCGATCTTATTATCAAAAAATAGAAAAAAAAAAACTTTATTAAGGTTTTCGTCCACATTTATTAATAACCACCCCCGAAAATTTTTTAGGTGTATGAATATATTATGAAGGATCTATTTTTAAAATTTGGTGGATAGCTGCACAAAAATGTATAAATTGGAAGTTTTGAAGTCTTTAGAATTTCAATGCTGATCGCTAAAACTTTATACGGGACATACTGTAACAAAACCAGACAAAGTGAACATTTGATTACCAAGAATTTTGGATCAAAATTTAATCACCAATGTGTTGTAACAGCTTTTAATTGTTGTAATATTAATATACATATTAAAAGAAAGTCACATGCATAATTTACATAGTTTAGAATTAAATATTTATAAATCCAAACTATTTTATCATTTTCTGCCCAATTGTTAATATTAAGTAACTTCTACAATTGTAGTTTTTCTTCTTTGAATTAATTTTGTTATTTTACTATTCCAAAAAATCTTTGATTCATAAATTTAAATTTTCAACACAAGTCTAATCATGAGATGATGGTTAGGAAAAGTCTATTAAAAAATAATTTACATAGTAAATTACTAACCCTAAAATGACTATCAGTCGCAGGACATTGCGGATCTACAGGGGGTCAAGTGTCACTCACTAATAAAAATTTTTTGATCAACACGG